TACATGTTATTTCACAAGAAATTGGAAACATTGTTGTTAATAGAAACAGTGTGGAGAATGTGGATAGTTTGGATCATATGAGTAGTTTGGAGAATCACTGCAATGTGGAGAGTCTAGGCAATGTGGAGCATGTGGAGAGTCTGGCCAGTGTAGAGAATCAAGCAAATAAAGAAGCTGAAAATAATGATGATGTTGATTTTGAATTTGATGATGTATATGGAATTAGGTCTGAAGATGAAGAGTATGGAGAACTGCATGATACCATGGATGAAGTGTTTAGGGTAGATACAGATTTAAACAATGATGATGAGTTGTCAGACTATGCATCTAGGGATGATGATTATATTAATTTCAGCTTTGAGTCAGATGATAATGTGGACCAAGCAAGACACAAAGCTACTGCAAGGAAATTTGACATGAACAGATATAGGAGAGAGTTTGAAATACAACCTGATGGGACAGTGCAGCTAGAGGTTGGTCAACCGTTTATGGATATTCATCATTTCAGGCTACCATATAGTTGCTGGTCTAGGCATGCATTTGATACCAGAATTAAGAGTGATCGTCTAACCAATAATTTAAGTGAATCTTTCAATAGTTGGGTAAGATCTTTGAGGTCAAAGTCTATTATTAATTTGTTGGATGACATCAGGACTAAATTTATGACTAGGATTCAACAGAGGCATGAGAGGGGCAACAGTTGGGAAGGGTTAGTGACAGAAAATGTCAGAAAAAAACTTAACAAAATCATTGTTGAGTCAAGATCATGTTCTGTAGTGCATGCAGGTGGAATGTAGTATGACATAATGGATAATGGGATAAGAAAAAATGGCCACATGCAGTTGGTGATATGCTATCTCCTCCCCTTCTGAGAAGACACCCAGGCAGACCCAAAAAAAACAAGGGGAGGGAGACAAATGAGCCAGCATCACAAACTAGCTTTGCTAGGAAGTCTTTAAGTGTGAAATGTAAAATTTGCAAAGAGTTTGGTCATAATAAGAGGACATGTCAAAGAGCTCCTATGAGGGCAGATCAGACAGCTCCTGTGATGGCATAACAGACAGCTTCTCAAGCAGAATCTAGAATTGGACTAACAAATGAATAGGTAGTAATTCGTTAATTTTTTAGTTACTTAATTTACAAAATACACAATTTGCTAATTCACTTTTCCACACTTATTAGGTATCTGCAATTGGAGGGACTGGTGTAGGCAGAGGAAGAAGAAGGAAGAGTAAGGGCAAGGGAAGAGGAACACCAGCACAGCCTACCTTACCACCACAAAACCATAACATTAAAGGGACAACAACACAGTCTAGCTTTCCACAAGAAAACTAGAACATTGAACAGGCAGTGGACACAAGAAAAGGACGAGGCAGAGGAAGGAAAAGCAAGGGTAGGAGCAGGGGCATGGGGGAGACACAAACTGCTGGGATAGAGTAGGAAGGACTTTTTTGATTGTTTTTTGTTCCTGGTGTAAATACTTGAATATAGTTGGTTTAACACAGGAATAGAGTAGGACTTTTGTGTAAAACATATGGTTTAACTTGTAAATTTTTGTGCATAATACTTGCAAATGTCACAACATAATAGTTGTAACTGTTATAAATGTATGGAAATAGAGGCAACCAATCATTCATAGAACTGCAATGCTTAACAGTGATATTACATAGAACTTACATAGAATAACTAGTCATATTACATAAAACAAAAGCATCATATTTGAACAACCAGTCATACTAGCACAACAACAACTTTTGATTTGCACAACAAAAAATATAAGTCTGCAACTACTTCATTCCAACCAAAAGTTGTAACACTAAAATCACAATTACAACTGTCATCATCTTCTTCATGCATTGTAGGGTGTCCTCTATTGACTTCACTCTTGCAGCTAACTTGTTTAATTCAACATTTGTCCCTGTGTTGTGATGTCTCATTCCATACCCTTCAGGTTGGGCGATCAGTGGTACAATAGATATCGGATGACACCATACAAAAAATTTGCAGGACCCTTTTTCACAATTGTAATATAATCTTCCTTACTAGGCTTATCAGATTCAACTATCTTAACCACAACTTTTTTTTCACAAAAACATAGTTTATAACTATATCTTATGTCAAACTCCTCCTCACCTGTGTCTCTACCTCCACCAACAGTTGAAGAATACATGAATCTTACAATAATACATCACAATATATTGACATTTAAACATCTAAAAAAAAAATTGCTTGAAAAAAAAATTAATTGAACAAAATAAAAAAATTTAAAACTATCTGCATGAAAAAAAAATTTAAGTAAAAAAAATACATGAACAATATTAAAAAAAAATTGCATGAAAATTTTAAAATTTCTACATTTAAAAATTAAAAAATTAACTGAATGAAAAAATTAAAAAAAAAATTACATACAAAATATTTACAAATCTGTAAGACAAAAAATATTTATCAACTTTAGTGAACGATCAGTGATCAATATAGAGAGCAACACACAACCAACCTCACGTTCACCTTGTTTCGGCTACAACACTTCCAGCCAAGGGGCTAAGGTGTATATATGTATATATATAGGAAAAGTTTTTGAGGTCATTTTAGTATTTTTATATAAAAAGGGGTAGTTTGGATATTTTTAAAAAAATTGAAGACAAACCGTTCCTTTATTCATCGTTAGTGTTAAACTTTACAGTGTAGGGGTGTCTTTGATTTAAAGTGTAAACTAGAAGGAAGTATAGTGAATATTCAGAATGGGTAGGGTGTCTTTGAATTTATGTCTAATTAGAGGAGGTATAAATAAAATTTTTCCTAAAAATATTTTGACGAAAGATCTTCTTTTTCTAGTTTAACAGTCCTATGTACTATTAGTCATAAATAACAAAAAAAAAATGGAAAAATCAGAAAAAAAAATGAGTTTTTTAATGGATATAAAACAATTTTGCAAATTTTTTATAAAAGAAATACTGTAAGTGCAAACTTATTTCTCATTGAAAAGTGTTTTTTAAAAATATGCTTTCAAAGTTCGTTGAAACTATGTGTTTTTGAAAACTTGTATCAATACTCATAAAAAAATAATATTTTTTTTTTGCTGTTTCATATTTCACAAAGAAATAGTTTAATAGATAAATTTAAAATTATGATAAATTGATAAAAAAAAAAAAAGATTTGTAAAAAGACAAAATTATTTGAAAAAACCTGCATGATATGAAGAGTAATGATTATGTACGGCCTGACCTGACCACCAAGCCTATCCACCCCTAATCTGTAATATGGAGCATAGCCAGATGGGGACAACGAATGTCTTGTCCTCTCACCACAAAATCACCCATCGCCATGTCCACGTAGTAACGGAAAGACCATGGTACCATTCTGATACCATATCACGCGTCTCGTAAATTATGGGGTCTGTTTAGTTTGAATCTTTAAATTTATTTTTTGTTTTTAAAATTTATTTGGCTAGTAATTTTGTTCTCAAATTTAAAAAAAAAAAAAGAGATTTAGAGTAAAAAATAGAAAACAAGCCGGTGTTGTTTTTTGAGTTTTTGGCTAAAATTTTTGAAAACACGGAGCACAAAATTCTGTTCAATTATTGCACCGAGTATGAAAGGTGGCTTTTTTTTTTTTTTCCATCCCTAACATTTACCCGGACTCTTTCTTATGGTAGTCTCTTTGGTCAACACAATCGCCCACTAAAAACGTGCAAGATCTTTCGACAAATCACCGACGTAACTCCGACGAATAACAGGCGCAGCTCCGAAAACCTGTAGCCTTATATCTCTCTCACACAACACATCTCTTCTTTCTCCCTGTGCAACAGATTTGTGTTCAAATTTATATATATACACAGATCTATGTGTATATATATGTGTATTGTGCGATGGTTGTGTGTGTTTGTTGTACATGTGGGTGTGTATATGTTTGTAATGTGTGAGAAGACAATAGAAAGAGAATTGCAGTGAGAAGATAATGGGGAGAGAAAGAGCTGCTGTGTGAGAAGATAATGGAGAGAGGAGAGAGAAAGTTGTGTGTGACTCCAAAAGATGAACTACCTGACTAGAGAGAGAAAGATTTTATAATGATAAATTTTTTTTTGGGTCAAAAGTAATAAGTTAAAAATTATTTTTGTGAATCACTATCTAAACAGATTTTATTATTTTCTATTATTTAAAATTATTTTCAAAACCATATAACCAAATAATTTTTGTAATACAAAAATATCAAAAAATATTTTTTTAGAATTTTTCTCAAAATTATTTTCAAATACTGTTTTTAGATATACAAACAAAACAGACCCATAATTTTTAAAATATAAACTATATAATTTATAAAGTACACGATTGATTTCAAAACATTACAATTAATAAAAACAAAAATATAACTGCATAAGGAAATTAATTCTCAAATAGTTATAATTTGATGAATTAATTCCGACTATAATCCTCAAAGTATGCATTTTATTTTTTTTTGGTCTATAATATTGTAATTGTATCACATTAATCGTTGATGCGTTCAATTTATTTTTAAATAGTCTCCATGTATGACGCCATTTAGATTTTTAACAGTTTCTGTCCATGTGCTATTCACGTGTTCCTAAATAAAGAACATATTGGACAAATTATTTTCAAATTAACCAAAAAAATTTGGTGTTGATCTCCAAAATATGCGCTTTATCTCATTTTAGTTCTCCAATATTATAATTATATTTCTATAATCTCTAATATATTCAATTTATTTTTAATTGGTTTTCACGTATGATACGGTCTAGTTGTTTGACGATTCCTATCCATGTGCTTCCTACTCCCTCCTAAGTGAAAAGCATGTTGAATAAATCACTAATCGATAAAAAAAAACGGGTTGTTCGTAGAGAAAAATATTTCCGTCTAGGGCCAAAAAACCGTGTTGTCCCTAATTTTACCATTGTAACATTAAGTGCGCATTCCGATATGGTAGGGTTTACCCATTAAATCTCAGTGTGGATACCCTTGCAGAACACATACGCCTTCGCAGCACCCGATCACCAACCCCACAAAACGACAAAGCGCACACTATACCCGCGTATCCTAGTATCAGCCGCAGCACAATCGTGTGTCCCACAATTCAGTTCAAAATTAATAGCAGAGTTTAGGGTTTCTCTCTCATGTATCTGCATTTTGATTCTGCTTCAATCAGTAGTTGAGAAAAAGGTCATATACGCACATTCATGTGCAGAGGTAAAGTGTGGAGTGTAAAGAGAGAGAATGGTGAACCCAAGGTGCTACTTGGACATTAGCATTGGAGGAGAGTTAGAAGGGAGGATTGTGGTTGAGCTTTACAAAGATGTTGTCCCCAAAACCGCCGAGAACTTCAGAGCTCTCTGCACTGGAGAGAAGGGCATTGGCCCCAATACCGATGTTCCCCTCCATTTCAAGGTCTTTTCGTTCTCTTCTCTCTCCTTCTCTACACATATATAAAATGTGTGTATGTGTATGTGTTTATGCATATGTAATGTGTGGATTTATTCATGTTTTTCTCTTTTATTCCGTATTAATATAGGTCAGGTTGATGTTGAAACTCATATTCGTTATAGAATGATACGTTTGAGAAGGCTCATTCCTGTTCTATTGGTGTTAGCTTTTCAGATCGTGTGTATGAATTGATCGATTTTTAGCTCTGAAGCAAATGTAATGTGAATTATGGCTAGTGTAATGCGTATCTGAAAGCAGTTTCTGGCATTTCATTCGGTCATTCCACCTTCTATGATATTGCGACAATTCGACTCATTGGAGGCCTACAACAGTACTTGCACTGCCAATAATAGATTATTGAACACACACATTTGTACTGAATGATTTTGTGTTATTGAATCAGTATAATTTATGTGTTAGTTCGAATGTTTTACCTGAAACAGATGAAGCCTTTGCTGCTCAAAGTGTTTCTTTTGCTTTCTTAGTTGTTTATTTAAAATTATTTTGCTTTACATAAAATGAATCTACTTTTAAAATATACGATCAACCTTTGTATCTCAAAATAATTGATCATACTGTGATACACTATTGTGAAGTATACAGGTATGAACCACATGTATGATGGGGATATGAGAAAAGCACTATTTGGACTGAATATTACAAAATAGACAAAGGTGAACTAGGTCTTCATAGTTTTGTGCACATTAAAATTTTCTGAAATTCTAGAGTGACTATAATATAAAGATGCACGTGATACTAAAAAGTCTGTGGTTTTCACTAACTATCAGTAGTTCATTGCTCTGTGAAGTCGAGTACTGATCAATTCATTAGAACTGGAACCAGACGATTTCCTTTTCTTGACAGAGTTGATGGCAATATACGTGAGATAGCCAATGGGGTACACCAAGGAAATTGAGTTGGATTTATCAGGGCTCTTAATGGAATTCATATTGTTATAATTGCGAAGGGTTTTGCTAATCATTGCTCAATAATCATACCAGGACTCATGTTTTCATCGCATTGTCAAAGGCTTTATGATTCAAGGTGGTGATATATCTGCTGGGGATGGCACTGGTGGAGAATCCATCTATGGCTTGAAATTTGAAGATGAAAATTTTGAGTTAAAACATGAAAGAAAAGGAATGTTATCAATGGCTAATGCTGGTCCCAACACCAATGGTTCTCAGTTTTTCATCACTACTACCCAAACTTCGCATATTGATGGAAAGCATGTTGTATTTGGCAAGGTAATCAAAGGAATGGGAGTGGTTCGTACAATTGAGCACGTTACTACAGGAGACAATGATTTTCCAACTCTTGATGTTATAATAAAAGATTGTGGTGAAATTCCTGAGGGTGAAGATTATGGGATATGTAACTTCTTCAAAGATGGTGACACTTATCCTGATTGCCCAACTGATCTTGATGTCAAACCAGATGAAATTTCTTGGTGGATGAATGCTGTAGACTCCATCAAAGCTTTTGGAAATGAACAATACAAGGTACCTGTGTACATATATGGTTGGCTCTGTCTGATTCATGGTTAACTATTCATATCATCATAGTTCAAACTCACATACAGAGAGGCTGGTCCAGCGTTTTCTTTGATGCATATAATTTTTGTTTTTCTGATGAGAAATCTCTCTTTGACTATGAGATTTGGGGTAAAATTAAAAACGCTAACTGTATCTTATCTTTTCTATCAATTTATTTTGTTAGTTGTTGTTTGTCCTAGTGCATTAGAATTACAGAATACTAGATCTTACCAGTTTATCTGCCTTCAGTGGTTATCTTCATATGAATATTGGATGTTGTCCTTGCTGATTTCACATACAGAAGCAAGAGTATAAAATGGCTCTCAGAAAGTATCGAAAGGCTCTACGCTACCTGGATATATGCTGGGAGAAGGAAGACATTGATGAAGGTGAACCATTATTTCTGTCAATGAGTAACCATTCCATGCTATTACTTGAAAAGAACTGGTTTTGTTGCAAATGTCTTGTGTTGGTCCCTCTTATGGCATTTTCTGTGCTATTGTACAGAGAAAAGTCAATTTTTAAGGAAGACGAAGTCTCAGATATTTACCAATAGTTCTGTAAGTTTTCTTAATTTATATCCTTAGCAACTGCTGGATATGTCAATTGGTAGAATGTTGGCAGTATATAGTTTTTGAATTCTTGATTATTAATTATATTTACTTTAACCCATTATTCGGTTGCTTGCTAAAGGCTTAATCGTGTAAGTAGTTGATCTGTAAATTGAGAATTTTGAGATAATGTTGGTGTGTGGTGATTATTGCTTAGAGTGTACACTGTGTGAACATTCTTTAAGCACAAATTCAATATTTTTTTTTTACTTTGATTTTTCTCCTCTTATAATCACATTTCAGTTTTTTTCATTTTGATGAGGTTGAGGATGCTAAATTTGTGACTCATACAACAACTAGATCAATAGTTACTTCGGAAACAAAAGATGTAAAGTTGGGTTCATTTTACCTGATTGCTAATGTCTTCTTGATAGATTTACGTACAGAATTTTTCCTTCCTACTGGTCATGATACTTCGTCAGTCATAAATCTTAATATATGAAATCTCCTTTACCATGTAATTTAGGTGGTTCATCTGTCATATAGACTTTTAAATTTTTACAAGACCTTATCTAAGGTTCTATATGGATTGTAAAGTGGAAAAAGGAGAATGGGCATAACCCGACTAGCATCCCACATTTCAGACCTGAAAGGAATTGGAAATGAAAGAAGAATATGTATGCACTTTCTATGGAGTGGAGTGACAACCCTTATCTCCCCCTTTTTTGCCTTCGGTTATTACCAGCTGGCAACACTTGGCCCAGCATTTGATTTTTTTGAAACAACCATGAGGAGTTCATTAAATCAAGTGTTCTCATCTCTGAGTATTTCATTAATTTTTCTCCTCTTCCATTTAAAACTACAACTCATTTTTTTAACGTAGAATTTGTTGCTTATGTTGAACAATGGTGGTAAAGTTAGGTTATGTACCATAACATTGAAAGGTTTTGTCTATCCTTTTGGGGAGATCCTGTACTAGCCTTTAATAATATAAAGCTTCAGTTGCTTCGTCTTGGACATGTCCCCTGTTATTTGTCTAGCAGCACATGTTTTTTTTGGTTCTCCATTCTTTTCCAGTGGCTTGTAATTCAATCCTGTTCATGATTGCTCTTGCCTCTTCTGCCAACTGATGTGGGTGATTGCTTCAGGCATGCAAATTGAAGTTGGGAGATTTAAAAGGAGCACTGTTGGACTCAGACTTTGCAATTCGTGATCTAGATGATAATGCAAAAGCTTTGTTTCGCCAGGGTCAGGTCGGTGTATTTAATTGACAGAAAGAAAATAAAAATGGCTTGATTTTATATACAAGAAGCATTGTGTACTGTTCATCCAATCTTATGACGTATTGTATAGATTGTTTAATGTATTCCTGATTTGATATATTGAATTTTAATTACTTAATGTCTTCTCAGGGCAGTTTTTAATCTTACTCATTAAAATAGCTTTATCACACATCTGCCATTGCTATCCTACATAATCTAACGTTCTCAACGATGCTAATTTATGTTAATGTTTAAGATACAGAAGTTGCTTATTCCCAAGAAAAAATATATTGATATATAGAAGTAGGAATGCTCTCATGTTGACTGTGTTATGAAGTATCGAAATATGGAATAAACTTAATAAGTTATAGCGCGTTAATTTTGCAGTGATCCTTTGATCTGGATATACACATTAAGTTGGTGGATTACTGCTGTGTCAGTAAATTACAGCTGAAGTAGTTGCATAGATGGACATATGTTGCTTTTTCTTTCATTCCATCATCTCACAAGGATCTGCAGTTCAATGACGTCATAAATTAAGCAGTGCAACCCTGTTGTCAGTACCTGTAGATTGGATTCAGCTTGTAGCTTTGATTCGATCCATTGCAACGACCTCATGAGAGCAAATCGGAAAAATGCAGAGATTCCTGTCACTCAAATCAAACCTATCTTCTCTTTGGTGGTGATTGAGACTTGACAGATAAATAAATCCCCCATTGTAACCACAATTTGCCAATCTTTGCATGATTTTCTAGCTACTTGTCTACATTAATTTCATTATCAAATATTGTTCTTCTCCTACCTTATCGTCAGGTGAAGTATCCTGATCATCCTGTACTGCATCTCCTTTAAAGCTTATCTGATGCGAGGTGGAATATGGTGTATTTAGTTTGACAATACCATTCTTCTATCAATTTCTCCACTTCCATCTTATGTATTCTATAAGATCTGTGTTTTTACAGTGTAACTGTTTCCTCGTTACCACTTTTCATGCACGACAAAATACCTGCTTTGTTTAGTTGCAGACAACTTAAGTTTGTTATTAGTTTTTTTTCTTTTTTGTTACGGATGATAGTCTATTCCTGCTAATTCTTCAGGCACACATGGCACTTAAGGATGTTGATGCTGCTGTTGAAAGTTTCAAGAAAGCATTAGCGTTGGAACCCAATGATGGTAAGTTTCATAATACTTTTTTATATAATAATTGGACTAGTGTGGTTTGATGTACTAATGGAAGGCAATATTTGTGTGCCTCTCTCTTGAGAGTCTAAGGGGTAAGTCCTTTGAATTGGATTACTGAAGGTATGGGTCAAAATGTCAAATTAACTTGTTCCATATAGCAAACCAGTAGATTGTAGCATGTCATGATGGGAGAGTACTTCATGCAATTCTCAGAAAAGATTTATGTGGTCCTTGTTGATTGTAAGATGTAACATAGGAAGATTCTAGAACAAAAAGTTTGCTCCCAAGTTTAGAACCAACTTACTAGCAAGTGTAGCTTGAGTGGTTTGTGAAGCTGTGTTTATGCTCACAAGTGTAATTCTGATAATATTATAGGTGTAATACTCTCTCTCTCCCCCCCCCCCCCCCCCCACAAAAAAAAAAAGCACACACAAAAAAAGGGAGTGGCGGAACTGTGATTTGTTGAGAAGCTTTTTTTTTTTTAATCCATATTTTGGGGGTAGGTTTTTTTATGTTAATCATTAAGCTCTGAATGACTATGGTGTCACCTTGTGCTTTTTTCCATTCAGGTGGTATAAAAAAGGAGCTTGTTGCTGCCAAGAAGAAGGCCAGTGACTTTTCCTTACATGACTTTCACTGCAAAAGTTCTAGGATTTTTGTAAACCACCTCTGAATGTGGCTTAATATTTATAATTGTGTGCAGATTTCTGATAGACGTGACCAGGAGAAAAAGGCTTATTCAAGAATGTTCCAGTAAAGTTCAGGCTGCCATGTGGTATGCTGCTACCTCTAATGTTTCTTTATTTTCGTCAAAATTTGATTATTATTTTTCAATTGTAATCCTGAATGCAGGCTGCTTGCTGCATGAGCAACTCGATTCTTATACAGACATTTGCATGGTAGCTTATACAGACATTCGCATGGTAGCTTATACAGACATTGGTCAAGCTTTTTAGTTTGCAGATTTTGACTGGTTTAGGAAGCATCAGGTAGTAAACTGAATTAATCGATCTCTATAAGAAAATTCTCTTGATGTTCCTCTCTCCATTCAATTTTCTCTCTTATCAGTATTGGGGAATTTTCTCTTACGGTTTTCTTACAGGGTTTGTTACAGAGCTGTAGGAAATTTCCAGATCCTTTGGAGAGAACATCATCGGAAGGTTTTTGAGAGAACAATGTCAGGTGGTCAATGTTTGAGCTAAATTTTGTTCAGAACATTTTTGTTGCTGTGAAGCAAACATTGTAGCTGGAATTAAATTGGTAGTTGATGAATATATCCAAGATCAAGCAAACAATCTTGTTATCTTTCGTACAAGAAAACTTCTTATTTGAACAAAAATGGATGGTTTCTTTCTCTTGAGCAATATCTTTTTGTTAGTAGTTTTTGATCCTCTCAATTGTCGTGGGTTTCTTTTACTAGCCTCAGCAGGTGGAATGGCTCGAGCTTTAGGGAAAGCATGCCCAGTGTTGATCTGGGCTCCCTTGCTGGTCCTTGAACCTTCTTCTTCCCCTTTTGCAGAATTTCCATCGCCATTCATTAGGCCTTTCATTTTATTTTTTGTTGATCGATTGCTGGAGTTTACTTCTTTCAATTTTCGGCTTTCTTGGGCTGAAAGCTTTTGTTCCATGGCCACTGAAACTCGCCAATCCGCAAGTGAAGTCTCTTCTTTAGCTCTTCTTGTTAGCGCAGAATAGTCTTCCTGAGTGAGTTGGACTGGGTTATTTTCCATCTGTGAAATGGTATAGCGAAGGGCCTCTGCAGTAGATGCGCCAAAGGCTTCTGATTCTAACTGCACCGCTCCAAGGGTAAGCTGCAATGTCCCAAGAGTTTGCCTTCGCAACCGCAGGACTTGCCTTAGTTTTGATCTGGCCCGGCGTTCTTCATCTGTTTTCTGCTTTATCTGTTCCATTTCTTGGCGGGTCTCATCCAAATACTGATTCAATTGGGTAATCATGGTTCTGACCTTCAGTTCTATCTCTTTTCTTGATCTGATACTCATATTGGTCGTTTTAAGCTGAGATTCAAGCTCCAAGATGACAACGTTAGACGTGGTAGATCGATTCTGTTCACTTGCAAGGCCTGATTGTAGCTTTTCAAGCTCATCAATTAGAGGCCTGGAATCTAACCATGACTGCATGGCATCGTCTTTAGCTCGCTTTAGTTCTTGCTTCGTCTTGTGTAATTCTGCCCTTTTTTCGTCCAATTGATTCCTGCATCTTTCTTCTAGTTTGCTTGCTTTGCATGAATGGTTCTCTGCTCTTGCTTCATTATAGGACTCCATTTGCTCTTGCACTGAAGGGAATTTTTTCTGTAACTCGTCTGGTTACAGCCTTTGCTGGTTATGTTGTCTACCAATTTGTTGATTTTTGTATTGCTTGCCTATTTATAAGGTTTGGTGGATAGTCCTGCCAATCTAACAGTTGAGGGTGATGTTGATGAAGGTCTGAAATATTATTCAGGATTTTATAATATGCTTTGTTGTCATCGGTTGGCATCTGAATAGATGTCTTATCTGTAGCTCGAATGTATTTTGTCTCGATCGATGCTAGATTAGGTATCATAAATTTATGTGCAATTCACTGTATTTAAGTGGGCCTATCATCGATAATATACTATTAAATAAAAGAAAAATGTATTGAAGATGATTGAAATCTCGTCCCTTTTCGAGGGAATGAGCGGATAAAGTCAAGTATATTCCAACCTTGGCCTTGAAATAATCTGTGCAGTTTGTTTATCGAACCATCCTATGCGATTATATTTTGTTTTAGTGCCAATTGTAGATGATTTGGGCGGCATGTTTCAATGCAATTTAATAGGAAATTGACAAATTCAGCTCATTGTGATACACGGGACTACTAACTACCAAGGACTGAGCATTTGGTTTGAATCTCATCATTATTTCTTAACGGTAAAATTTATTATTTTAATACATATTTTTATAATTTTTGTGGGTTATTTTACAATTAAAAAATTTATCATTTTTATAGGTGATTTTACCACAATTGTTAGTATTTTATCACTTTTGTGATAACTATTTTTATAATTTTTCTTCAATACAAATTTTGTTATCACTTTTGCGGATTTTTTTATCACACTTGTGGGTATTTTTATCATTATTGTAATAATTATTTTTATAACTTTTTTTTTGATATTACAACAATAATTTTTTACCATTATTGTGATAACTATTTTTATCACTTTTTTTGGTACTATAATAATAATAAAATAATCACAAATATAATAAAAATACTTATAAATGTAATAAATGTTGATATGGTATTAATTTTATATTATTTTTTTTTGGTACCGTTGACAACTCCACAACAATCAGTAAAAGAGACCGGATCTAATAGGCTCATCCAAATCTAAACGCACTCAGTAATTACTAGTCTTCAAAATTTTACCTTAAAACTGAACTCCAAATTAATCTTTTTTTTTCTTTTTTTTTTTTTGACGAGTAATCCCTGACAATTTATTTTTTTAACAGTATATATATGGGGCGAGGACGATAAAATTGGAATCTGACCGTTAATTCAACAGCGGGACGCTAATTATTAGATCTACCATTTTCATATATATTATATACGTGGAATTGAATTACCATTTTTTTTTTGTTTCTCTCGAGGCTGGAGCTAAATCATTGAATTACTTGGTTGGGCCAATAACCACTGTCGGAGTGGACTTCATTTAATTTAGGAAAGTTAATTCATCAACTTTTTCATCCTTCATATTTTTCTTCCTTACCAAACATGATATTTTTTTTATCCTTCTAACTTTCCATCTTTTCAACTTTTCATCCTCTCACTTTTTCATCGTACCCAACGAAGCATTATGCTCCGTTTGGTAGGTCGGATAGAAAGTAAGAAGGATGGAAAGTAGGAGCAATACACTTACTATCCTTCAAGGATCGAAAGCAAGAAAGATACACTTTCCTTAATTCCTTTGTGTTTAGTTGGATAGATGAAAAATAAAAATGACTATTTTTTATTTGTTTTTGTGCTGACTAAAATTAGAGGTGACAATAGAGTCGAGTTATGTCGTGTCAGTTTCGTGTTAAATCATTACGAGTTTGTGTCGAACATTAGTCAAACCTAATTTAACTCATTCAACTAATTGTGTCGTGTCGAGTTGTGAGTTTACTTATTTATTTTCGTATCGAGTTCGAGTAGTGTCATCGTGTTGAGTCGAAAATTTTCACTCTTAATTAAGATGAAAAAAATATATTTTTTTAATTTAAAATTTAAAATTTTTATTTTTTTAAAAAAAAAATAATTTTTAATTTTTTTAAAAATATATATACATATTTTACCATTGTATTTTTATATGAAATAAATGTATACATAAGATATATAGACAAATAAAATACATCTTAACATAAATAATTAATTTTTCATTCACTTTCCTTCTGATTTTGGAGGGATTGATTTTGGTAAGTTAGAAGGAAAATTAATTCATCCACTTTTTCATCCTTCCTACTTTCATTCATTATCAAACATGATGTTTTATTTATCCTTCCAACTTTTCATCCTTTCATTTTTTTATCATACCAAATGGAGCATTAGTGTACACTAATATTCGACACAAACATATAAATAAAACAACACGATTGCTATCCTTATTTTTGAATATTCGCAATTCTTTTTGTCTTTTTAGAGTCTATGCCTTGATCAACATCTTCTATGCATCTATGCCCACTTTGTATACTAGGCATTAAATAAATATTAGGTGGACGGCGACTTTGCATATCCACAAATCTCGAAAAATCATCTTTAAAACTAACACAATACATAGCTCGAAGAGTTCCACAAAAATAAATCACCTAGTCATATACAATCTGTTCAGGATCCAAACACTTGATAAAAAAATCTGGGGAAAATTTCAATCACATTATTTATAATTTATTATATATTTAAAAATATTTTCTCTATTATCAAAAATATCGTTGATACCCTTTTTAGTTTATATTTAAACATTGACACTCCCTGCCATTAAAACATTATTTTTAATATAAAAAAATTCATCTAAAATACCAAAAATGTCCCTACATAAACTCCAAAAAACCTTTCTACATAAAATTTGAGACAATTAAAATTTATTTTTCTATATATTAAAATTCAAACTGATTAAAATTCATTTTTTTCAATATTAAAATTTAAGTCGATTAAAATTTAATTCGAGCTGATTAAATTGTAATTTTTTTAGGTATTAAAATTCGAGTCGATTTGAACTCTGCCTGAACTATTAGCATCGTTTAAAATTCAGTTCGAGTTGAGTAAAATTTATATTCTTTTATTTATTAAAATTTGTGCCAATTAAAATTCGATTCAAGTTGATTAAAATTTATTTTTTACGTATTGAAATTTAAGTCAATTAAAATTTATATTTTTTTACGTATTGAAATTTAAGTCAATTAAAATTTATATTTTTTACATATCAAAATTCGAGCATATTAAATTCAATGCTAAAATTGGCTCGAATAGAATTTTAATTAGCTTAAATTTTAATACATAAAAAATATAATTTTAATTGACTTGAATTTTAATACGTAAAATTTTTTTAATTAATTCGAATCAAATTTTAATCGATCTAAATTTTAATGCATAAACAAATTTAGAAAATAGAGATAGTCTCATTTAAAATATGTCTATATAGAGGGAGTGTGGATGAAGTTTTTCTCAAATATATTATGCCCGTTTAGTAAAATTACATTCTAATTAACAATTTTAATCTGATAAAGGGAGTTTGTGAAGATTAAAAAAATAGAGAGAATGTCCTTGAATATATGATAAATTAAAAAGGGTATGGATGAAATTTTCTCAAAAATCTAAGATTTTATTCTTAATATACGTAAAACAAAATTAATCTTCGCACCATGTCGTACACACATGAGCAATGGAGTCTTCTAAATCATGAACAAAGACTTGAACGTTGGTTTATGAACAACTTATTCTAATTGTTGCACCAGATTGTCAATTTAGTTTTGATTGCTTAAAATCAAAACAATTTAGTTCTATTGTTCCAAGAGGGTTGTCGACCTTTGATATCACTTGTCAATTTTACACAACAATTAATTAATACTAATACTAATTATTAGGAAACACAAATTCAAAGATAAGAAAAATAATTAAGAAATAATACAAATATTTATGTGGTTCGATATAATAACATACATTTACCAATCAAAAAGTCATATTGATGCTTTATTATCTAAGAATTTGATTACATAGTATTAAATATTTAACTTTATTTATAAGAATAAAATTTTATATTTCAAACCTATTGACTAATTTAGACACTACTAAATTTCGTAGTTTTCATCAATTAATGCATTTTACTAGTAATTTATTGGTCACGATATATTATATCTAAATAAGATTAGTGGTTTATGTATATTATAATAGGACGAACTGTATTTTGTATTGTCAAAGATTTCAAGATTTTTATTTTGCACTCTTACAGATTAAATTTTTCATATTATATTTTTAATATATCAAAAATATTACAATATGGTTATTCTGTTAACTTTTTATTAGTTTTTCTGTCCGTGTCGATGAGTGGTTTTTAACAGGAAAAAAAAAATGGAAACAAACATAAAAGTTGCATTGCAACACTCTTAATACATCGAATATGCAATGTAAAAAATTTAATCTTTAAAGTGCAAATTGAGAATTTTAAAATTTTTCAGGATACAAAATACAAAAAACCATTATAATATTATTGGCTGTTCTTTTCCTATTTAATTTGTGGTTTTCATATGTGAATGCCCAATAGTTGTCCTCGATGTTTTATTAGTCATTTTGGTTAGGAAGAAATAATGATGAAAAATAAAAATGATAGAAAGTAAAGTGAAAGAAAAAAAAATATATTTTTATGCATGTATATAGTTAGCATAAAAAACTTATGAGAAAATTTTAAAAATATTTCATTCTATTATTTGAAAAAAATGAGAGTTACAAGAAATTTTTATAATTATCTAAATTACCCCTAATTATATTAAATCGGTGTAAATAAAAAAAATTATGTATTATAATTAAAAAAAAAGTGGCTTGAAATATTATTTTGGGACAAGCACCAACATGAAAGTCTTTAGATCAAATTATATAATTAATCAAATTCATACTAAGATTTTTTTTAAATGAATAACCAATAAAATATTTTAAAAAATAAAGATAAAATAAAATTTTAATTATAGATCACAATTTTTTTTATTTTTTTTTTATATTTTTTGCACAAAAAAAATTATTTAATTATAAGAAAATTCAAGTATGAAAAATATATATATATTTTTCATTTGATGCTAATCAAAACAGGTGAAAATTTTAAAAACCCTTTCTCTTTCCTTTTCTATCGTTCTCCCGCTAAACAAACGGACTTGGAAGCAAAAGAGCTATCAAGATTCAAGGGGCAATTCTCCTTCTCAGAAGTGCTCAAGAACTCTCAAGAGGCAATTCACCTTCTCAGAAGTGCTCAATCTTCAATGACTGATTCTCGTTCTAGGTATGTCTATCTATTTGTCTAATTCTATATATCTCTACGCACGATTCATGTGTATGCAGTTCGAGTTTTTCGATTGTTGATTTTTTTAGGGTTTGATTTCAGTACAATCGATGTAGAACCTGATCATGACATTGGCGGTGAATCTAACGTGTTTAAACCGGATTATGCGGAGATTATTGTAATATGTCACGGTGAAACTATTTGGAATGCCGAAGGTAGACTTCAGGTAAATTCTCTTCTCAAGCGTTAGATCGTGTATGGGAGGGTATTATATCTGTTCTCGTTGAGATTTGTTTATTTTTGCTGGATTAGTCTTTCTATGAGAAGAAGGAAATCAGTATCACCAACAGTATTTGGACCTAATTTGCTGATATAATTTATTGAGCAACCATTGGTAGTAGCAGGTTCCAACAAATAACAAATACAAAGTACACTGTCAATCCAATTATTATGAGTAATTATATTAATAAATTAGGTCTAAGTAGCATTGTACTTTATATGAATTTAATATCAATATGTACAAAGGCCCTGGGGAAGGGGGAGGGGGTGTATGTGCATGAAGTATATTGTTGTTCCTTTTGTTTGACATATATTAGGGTCACGATGGTAGTGAAAAATAATTTTTTGCTACCATTCCTTTTTTTTTTCAATCAAATTTGATTGGAACCCGTGTATTATTTGACTATAAAGATTTTTCGCTAGCATTCCTCCTTTTTTCAATCAATATGATTGAAACCCACGTATTATTTGACTTTGCTTTATAGTTTTCAGGATCACCGTGCTATAAATGAATCAACCTAAAATCTATGGTTATTGAGTCATTTTTTGGTACCATAGCTTTATCCTATAGAGCAAGGCTCTAAGTTTTGCCTCTAGTTTTACTCACTGTTATTGGCTTTTCAGGGTCACCTAGATGTTGATTTAAATAAGGTTGGGAGACAGCAAGCAAATGCAGTACGTTATGACTTCTATTAATCAGTATTTTCTATGTGGCTTTTGTATATGCCTGAGACATTGTCATATTTTGTTCAAGGTGGCTGTCCAACTTTCCACGGGGCCCAAAATCTCTGCTGTATATTCATCTGACTTGAAGCGAGCTTATGAGACAGCAGAGTTAATAGCAATCAACTGTGGTGAGCTTGAGGTATGAATCCTAAAGCAATTTTGGAAATTAACATCTGTTCACAATTGAGCGTATAAATTTAAGAAGGCAGCCATATCAATTTACATATCAAAGTAATGTGTATATTATGACAATGTAGCATATGAGTGATGGCATTTAGGTGTTCAAACTCATAATTGGGACAAAAAAAAAAAATTTGGAGCATATTCTTGTGTCAATTTAGGAGTGGGGAAGTTGCTTGTAAGCAATAAACATCAAAAAAGAAGAAGCAATAAACATCAGTAATATTGCTTTTAACATGGAACTGCAATAATTATGAGTAATCCAACTGAAATAAAGGAAATGTCACAGTGAATGGTGCAAGGAGATAGCAAACATTGCGGGGACAAACTTGAAGGACAACTTTGACTTGGCTCTACCATATTTTGAAAAAAAAATTGTGGTGCATGTTGGAATATGTTTTTTTAGGTGGGGCTTTTGGAATCTTTTTAGGTTAGACGTGAATGGCAGGGTCCACAGGGACATAACTAGTGAAGGGTATGCTATCTGATTACACCAAGACGAAGTAGATTATGTGTAAAAGGTTTATGAGTCACTAATATCGGTATTTGGGATGTAGAATCATCCTTGCAGGCTTATGATTTGATAATTCTCTTAATTGCTGTAGTGCTAAATGCTATTCTTCGTTGAAGGAAATGCATGCAGTTCCACTAATGGATACTTCTCTTTGTAAGGAAGTAGCTGATTTCCGACTTTCTTGCTGTGTAGTCTTTTTATGAAGCCAAATGTGTCAAGGAGATGAGGAAAACTGGAATATATTTAGATCTGGTATCATTGCATGATGTTGCAACCGGGGTTCTCAAACTAAAAGCGAAAAGGTTTAATGTAGGACTTGTTTTTATAAAGTTTTACACAATGAAGAGGTTTTTTGGAAAAGCTCAATTGTTTCCATTACTTTGTGTCATATTTATACAGAGATAAGTTGACTATGATTACAAAGGAAATAATGACAGACATAGAACAGAGTAGTAATTACAAGGAATCAGTGCCTAAACTCAAGGCGGGCTGTACAATATTTTCTATAAACAGAATTAACCAAGTAAAGAGAAATCCCAAATAATCAGCCTGTGATTTCTCTAACATGCCCCCGCAAATTGGTGGACCGTTGAGCAACACCAAGTTTGGGACGAAGAAACTCAAGTTGCTGTCGAGAGAGTGGTTTCGTTAGAGCATCTGCTAGTTGGTCTTTGGTGGAAACATGGGATATACGTAGTTCGCCATTTGCAACCTTGTCACGAACAAAATGAAAATCTATGGCAATGTGTTTCATTCGAGAGTGAAACACTGGGTTTGCACATAGATAGGTTGCACCAATATTATCGCAGTAGATTACCGGAGTTTGAGTAGGAGAAATGTGCAACTCGGGGAGGAGAGAACGAATCCAGGAGAGCTCTGCAGCAGTAGAGGCAACAGACCTATATTTGGCTTCAGTAGAAGATCGAGCAAACGGACCGTTGCTTCTTGGAGCTCCAGGAGATGGGATTGCAGCCGAGATAGACAACAGAGGCACTAGTAGAGGTGCGGTCATCTTTGTTTCTGGCCCAGTTCGCATCGGAGAATGCATGAAGATGAAGAGGAGACTTCTTATGGAGATGCAACCCGTAATCAATGGTGGATTTCAGGTAGCGAAGAAGCCTCTTTGTAGCTGCCCAATGTGTCTCCGTGGGCTTATGCATGAATTGGGAGAGTCGGTTAACGGCAAAAGCAATATCGGGACGGGTGAGGGAGAGATATTGCAAGCTCCCAACAGCTCGGCGGTAGCCATAACATCGGAGAGATTGGAACCATCGTGTAGTTAGAGAGAGGTAGTAGTAGAGAGTGGAGAGTGAACATCCTTAGCGCCTAACATTCCAGTTCGATCTAAGATATCCCAAATATATATCTGTTGAGATAAAAATAATCTAGTGGAAGTGGGAATTACCTCAACACCGAGGAAGTAATTCAGGGTGCCAAGATCCTTGACTGAAAAATGAGACCCCAATTGACTTACAAAATCAGTGACAGCGGTAGTGTTGTTACCGGTAAGAATCAAGTCATCGACGTACACAAACAGGTAGAGAACAGTTTGTCCATGAGAGTAGATGAACAAGGAGGCATCGGATTTGGAGTTAACAAAGCCAAAGGAGAGCAAGAACCCTTTTAACTCAGTGTACCACGCCCGAGGGGCTTGCTTGAGACCGTAGAGGGCTTTACGAAGTTTGCACACATGAGAAAGGTAGGTTTGATCAACAAAGCTAGGGGGTTGGGACATAAATACTTCTTCAGATAAATTACCATGAAGGAATGCATTATTAATGTCCATTTGTTGGAGAGGCCAACCCTTAGAGATGGCAAGGGAGAGAACAATTCTGATTGTAGTCGGTTTGACTACCAGACTGAAGGTGTCGTTGTAGTCGAGACCCGGCCGTTGGTGAAAACCCTTAGCGACAAGGCGGGCCTTATATCGGGCTACCAAACCATTAGGGTGGCGTTTTACTCGGAAAACCCATTTGCATCCTACTAGGTTTTGACCATTGGTAGAGGGGACAAGCTCCAATGTCCCATTGTAAAGAAGAGCGTCAAATTCCTCTGACATGGTCTGACGCTATTTTGGAATTTTTAAGGCTTGTGACAGAGCAGTGGGTTCGGGTATTTCAGGTGAGGGAAGATGGGAAACCAGAGAAAGTAATTTCTTGGGTTTAAAAATATTATTTTGAGATCGGGTAGTAACTCGTGGAGGAGGGTCAAGAAGCCTGGCATTATCTTGAGTACTTGCTCCTTCAGACGCGTCAAAGAGATCACGCTCGGGTGCACCTGCTAAGGCCGAAGAGGATGGTGAGGAGTGATCATTGCCAGGCATGGAGAGAGATGCACAATCAGTGGAAGTAGGAGAGATTAAAGCTGGACGAGTTTGAGAGAAAGGCAAAGAAGAAGATTTTCCAAAATGAGTTGCGGAAGGAGGGGATTGACCGTCCAGATTTTCGGTGACAACCAAATTAGTAGGTGGCTGATTTTGGGGAACAGAAAAGGAAGTATTGTTGGGGACCACAAAATAAGGAGAGTTACTGGAATTTGGTAGCAACCAATGAGACAAATCATTAAGATTTATTTTGCTCAAGAGACGCATAAGGAAAGACATTTTTGATGAAGGCAACATGCCGAGAAACATAGATTCGGGAAGAGTGAGGTTCAAGGCAGCAAAAGGCTTGGACTTTGGTTCCCAACAATACTTGTGTCGGAAGATAACCTAAGAAAACACAAGGTTTGGACTTTGGTTCCAACTTATGCTTATTGTAAGGCTTAAGCAAAGGGTAACAAAGGCAACCAAAGGTGCGTAGTTTGGAGTAATTGGGAAGATTTCCATGGAGTTTGTGAACAGGTGATTGAAAGGAAAGAATTGGAGTGGCCATTCTATTTATTAAATAGACTGCAGTAGGAAATGCATATGACCAAAAACGCAAAAGAAGAGAGGTTTGACTGAGTAACGTAGTCCAGTCTCAACAACATGGCGATGTCGTCTTTCAGGGGAACCATTATGTTCCGGAGTGTGGGGTGGAGTAAGGAGATGAGTAACACCATTAGACTCAAAGAAAGGTTTGAGTTTGTGAAACTCACTGCCACCATCGGAATAAATGGAGATGATTAGGGGATTAAAGAATTTTTCAACCACCAATTTAAATTTAATGAAGACATTTGGGACATCAGATTTTTTCTTAAGGGGATATAACCATATGTATGTGGTGAAATGGTCAACAAATATAATGTAGTAATGAAAACCATCAATGGATTGAACGGGGGAAGGTCCCCAAAAAATCAGAATAAATCAATTCAAGGGGAGAATTACTTTGCAGTGTAGATAAGTGAAATGGAAGTTTGTGAGCTTTATTACACTTGCAGGAATTACAAAGAAATTCTTGACTAGAAGAGATGGGTAAAACATTTGAAGAGACTATGTTTTAAGACTTTCAAAGAGGGGTGGCCGAGGCGATTATGCCAATCTTGGAGAGTGGTCTTGACGCTGGCGAAGGAGAGAATGGGCGACAATGAAGTGGATGACGAGAAGGATTGAGGAGGTGCATGCGATGGCCACTCATAAATTCCATTTCTGTTCCGCCCATGCACTAGAGGTGCCCCCGGGTGAAGATCCTTCACAACAAACGAAGATGGTAAGAACTCAATAGATGCATTATTAGAACGATAGAATTTGGAAACAGAAATGAGATTCTTTTTCGTGCTAGGAACACAAAGCACATCATTCAATAAGAAATGTTTTGAAGATGAGGGTAGATTTGTGGAACCGGTATGGGTGATAGGAAGCCTTTTACCATCGTCTATGACCATGTCATCAGGACCCTCATAACCCGAATGGAGGGAGAGATTATTCAAGTCCGCGGTGACATGGTGAGATGCACCGGAGTCGACCAACCAGTTGACAGGAGATGCGCTAGGTTGACCAGCACAATAAGCATGTGGATTGGAGCCAAAGCCACCATAGCCAGGAGGTCGGAGATACTGGCACGTGCGAGCGACATGACCTTGTTGCTCACACCATTGGCAAACAATTTTCGGAGAATTCTGATTGTTGGAGCCGTTGGAATTCTGATTTTTCTTTTGACAATGACCCTGTTTGTTGGAATTTCCAGAGTTGTTAAACCTGCCAGATTTATTGTTGTTTCGTGACTGATATCCCGCCTTGCTAGCAACATTAGCAGTAATTGAAGCATCATCGGAACGTTGGGAGCATCGTTTGAGAAAAAGCTTCATGTTCAGACAGTTTCTCATGAAGCTCTTCAAAGGAAATATCACTGTCACGAGCGCGAACTGCTGCTGAAATGGCAAAGACCAGGTCTTCTTCTTCAACCGGAACAGTGTGAATCATAGATAACTCATCAGCGGCACTTTTTACATGGTGCATGTAATCGGTAATGCTACGACCAGCTTGAGGAGAGTTGAGATTATCCTTTATTCGTAGGATTCTCGAGTGTGACGGCTTGGCATAGGTGGTAGAGAGACGAGACCACACTTCCTGATACGTCTTAGCCGAGGCTGCAAACGGATGAAGTTTGTCGGAAAGAGAGGCATGAATAGCGCTGTGAAGCAACTGATCTTGATGAACCCATGTGATATAGGTAGGGTTCAACTTTTCTTTGCCGTTTTCAGTAACCATTGCCGAGGGACAGGGGAAAGAGCCATTGAGATACCCTTTGAGGTTGTAACCTATCAGGAGTGCATTCCATTGAGCATGCCAAGACAAGAAGTTATTAGGGGTGAGCTTCACCCTGGGCTGCTGTATTAATGGAGATCAGGATGGTATTAGAATCGGAGGGTGGTGGAAGAGAACTGATAACAGGGTTGCTCTCAGATGGGGTGAGAGTAGAGGAGCTAGAATTAGCCATTGAGAAACTCGTTTGAGTATTTGATAGCTCTGATACCATATAAAGTTTTACACAATGAAGAGGTTTTTGGAAAAGCTCAATTGTTTCCATTACTTTGTGTTATATTTATACAGAGATAAGTTGACTATGATTACAAAGGAAATAATGACAGACATAGAACAGAGTAGTAATTACAAGGAATCAGTGCCTAAACTCAAGGTGGGCTGTACAATATTTTCTATAAACAGAATTAACCAAGTAAAGAGAAATCCCAAATAATCAGCCTGTGATTTCTCTAACAGTTTTGTAACACAAAACGAGTGTATTACTATATTGTTTTTCTACTTCAGGTTATTAAAGATCCAGAGTTGCGGGAAAGACATTTAGGAGATCTTCAAGGTCTTTCACTCCGTGAAGCAGCCAAAAAAAGTCGCAAGGCTCATCAAGCTTTTGTATCTCACAGCCCAGATCAAGAAATCCCTGTAAGGATTGTACTTATACCTGTGAAGTTGCGATCAACATGAAGTATTAGCATAATTTACAGGTGTTTATATAACAATAGTATAACTGGGGAAAACCTTTAGGATAAGACTGCAAAATGTCCAAGATGTGTGAGGCTAAGTGGCTAACCCCGATTGGGAGCTTTGCACAAGCTTCTGTTTGTAGGTCCGTGTCGCCAGTTCAGATGGAAACAATATCTTTTGGTCATTATTATCTTTGTTGCAATAGGTTGCTGAGATTCGGCCTGCCAACCTTTTGGGAGTTTCATTTGGTGAATTTAGCTTACTCAGGCTAAATATACAAGGTTAAGGTTCGGCTTGCTGGATGCTTGGTCCAGTCCAGCTCACACTTTATGGGAGAAATTATAATTTGATGTGCTAGATGAGTTGAGACTGTGATGCCTGTTCAGAGGCATTGGTCTTTTTGCTTTGAAAATAGTAGTTTGTCCAACTTGCAGTAAATGGCGCTAATTTTATATGGCTATTTGCTAGATAGATGCTTTGTATCAAAGTTCTGTGTGTATTCAGGTACTTGTGTGATAAACATTTAATGGGTGATTTTGGCATTTTAAAGTGATCCCTTAGTTTAATCCATATGCAGGGTGGTGGAGAAAGTCTCGATCAACTATATCAACGCTGCACATCTTCATTGGAGAGAATTGGAAAGAAGCACAGAGGTATTTGTAGATTCATTGTTCGAGATAATAAGAAAGTTTGCACAATATTTGATGATTATATTTCATTTTCAGGAGAGCGAGTAGTTGTGGTCACTCATAGGGGTGTCATCAGAGCACTTTATAAATGGGCTTCTCTAGTTGGGCGGTCTGCAGGGAAGATCTTGAGCACCTCCATCAGTAAATTTCACTTCTCTGATGGTAAGTGGACCCTACAATCCTGGGGAGACGTTAACCATCTGCGGACTCGTTAGCCACCTCAGCCAAACAGGATTTTGTAACTCAGATTTCGGCCACTAATTTCACATCCCGTGGGATTTCGACATCATCCTAGGTAAAGATAGTATAGCAATGGCATCTGTTCATCCTAAAGTTTTTGTGGGGGTATCAATAGAACTAGTCAATCCTAACTTGTTAATATCATTTCAGGTTTGTGTTGCATCGAAAATTATTACGCCAACCCTTTTTTAGTCTTTGTTCTGTTCTCAGACTAAAGTTTTCGGTAGTAATGATTGTGTTTCTATTGTAGCATGTGTAGTGACAATGGCTTGACAGGGATATATAGTGGCCCAATGTTGCATTAAATTGATGGACGTTGTGTGAGACTGCCTGAGTAACCGCTGGCACCATATGGGTTGGATTTGTGAATGAGAACAATCCAATCCAATCCAATCCAAGCATAAGATGTGAAACTTAAAAATTAAGCATTGTACTACAAACAATAGTGTGAACTATCCATACAGCCGGCTTGGGAGTTCTGTCATATGTAGTCACATTGGCTTTGACAGGGACATATATTTCTCACCAAGGATAAAAAACCTTCTGTTGTTGCGAAATCCTGAGCCGCATTTGCTTACTTTTCAGTCCAACTCTTTATCATGTCATCGATTGCTTAGTTTCATTGGCATCTGCACCCGAAACTACTCGATGTGAGATAGCCTAGTCCTCCACCTCCCCGGTATAATTACCAAGACTGCAGGGCACTAACGGTCCAAAGAGGAGATTTCTATCCCACCATTGAGCGCCCCATATAGACACGCAAGCAATTTTTTTTAATTCACACCTAATCACATACTCTAAGAGAGTAAGGGTCAAGTGGAGACTTATAGACATACTTACGCATCCAAAGTTATCCGATGTGGGATAGCCCGGCATCATAATATTTTTAAATTAAAGTTATAACTGAAAAATGCATTATTGATTCTAAAATGTTATAAACAACCATGTAAGTTATAATTTTTTTTAAAAGTTAAGTTATATATTTATTTTTCATGAATATTCTTAATATGTTATAACTTCACATGAGTTCAAATCATTAAAACCTCCGCAAGAGAGTAATAAGTAGGAGATCTTATTTGACCACATTGGCGGTAGTTATTATTGATACATGATAGCATCAATTAATTAGAATCTAACAGTTATTTTTATAATTGTCATATTCATTAACCATTACATTGGAATAGCGGATTTTTGCTAGTCTTATTTTGTTGTTTTCAAAATAATTGATAATTGCAGGTATCTGTTCCATGGAATATTTACTGCAAACTCAATGGCCACCTGTTGATTATTTGTGAAGAGATCCCATCCTTTAAAATATGATTTTCTACGATTTTTTTGGGTGAGGTTATTACCACCCTTTAATTTTTTTTTTTCCCACTCCATTTAATCATCTTATTTCAAACTACTAAGTTTATCTCATTTATACCCACCCTATTAGTTACTAAGTTAATCCCATTTATACTCATTTAATTAAATTATTAAATATATATATCAAAGAAACAGAAATAAAAATAGTAATTAAAGCGAAATTTTAATATTTCAAGGTAATTTATATTATTTTAAGATGTTTTGAGATATTTTGATATATTTTTACCAATGTTTTTTAGAATATTTTGAGTTATTTTAAGATATTTTGGTATATTTCGACTAATATTTTTAAAATAATTATTAATTTTTATTAAATTTTATTCTACTTTCTGAAATATTTTTGTACCCAAATAATACACCGAAATAAAATTGAATCATTGCCTATACAGTAGGTTTGAATAAAATTGAATTAATTTAATTTTTAATTAGTGAATATAATTGGAGTGAATTTAGTAATTAATGAGGTGAATATAAATGAAATGAACTTAATAGTTTGAAATAAACTGATTAAATGGGGTGAGAGTAACCTCAACTTTATTTGTTAGTGGTCGTCTCCCAAAGTACTCTTTTTTTTTTAGCTGTTTAAAAAAGAGAAGGATAACCAGTAAATAGTAATTTCTCTTAAGCGTGACCATGAAGATCCTCTTACTGTGACATGTTCAGTTTGACTCATAACTACTAATGCGGAAAGGTAATTCGTCACCACAATACCACTAAATTCAAATAACAAACTATGTTACTCCTGTGAATTGAAACTTACTTAATAGCAATGCGAGAATAAAAAAAATTTCAAAATATTAGGATTTTCCAACTAAGACCACACCAACTCGGGTGTTTCTCCCTGAGTACTCACCAACACATTTGATGCTCCCGTTTCATATGGCTTCACCAAATTCAAAGCTCCCCGGTTCACAGTGATCTGATCATTTAGATCAAGGGCCTGTTGTATATCCTTCTTTTTGGTTCATGTTGAAGACCATGATTATCGGTGCTCCTGGAGCACCGGATACTTTCTCAAGGTAAGTAAAGGTGACCATGGCGCATCATGTGTGGGTCCACCAATTTTCAATTCTTCATACAAACCAAGTTGGTTATCAATTTAATCTCTTGACTACATAACCAATCTTCATATATTATAATACCACAAAATGAGCGCGTGAAAAAAAAAATTCTAATGCCTGTTTTTAATTGGAGAGGAAATTAGTTAAAGTGCGTTTAAGTTGACTCGAACACCCCGACTAACTATTGAACAAAAAAAAAATTTCAATCCAAAAATCTTGACTTATTATATTTATAGTGATCAGTCATAAAAATTATTTAATACTCCAAGAAAATGTTAGGCATGGTACCTTGTCATTGAACAGAGAAAATACGACGCTGAAAAATTATTAATATTATTATTATTTTATGATATTGTAATCGATAATGTTTCTTGTAGATCCAATACTCAAAACTATTTTATTAGGATCAACTTTGGTGACCTAAAGAATATTATACAAAATGGCAATAGAGAGAGAGAGAGAGAGAGAGAACAATTCAAAGTCACAAAGAAGCTAAAATGCGTCATGTATGATTCAGAGTTGTTTTCAAAGATTAGCGAATGTCTCGATTATAATTTCACCCGCCTGCCGATTGATCCACGGGCCAGGCAACTGGACCATTGATTAATCCATGGGTCAGAGCACGTGAGCCTACCAAAGAGCTATAATCCATGATCTATCGGGTGAGTTAAGATGGTATATTTTTAACATATTCGACATTAAAAAATTTAAATTATCCAACTAATGAGTTGGGTAATAATAATGATGGATTTAAGATTAGGTCCTTTCTAGAGCTCAAAATTTTTTCTGGGCTCAAAGAAGACAGCCCAATGCTCACGAACTCGGCGTAGGTATCAACTTGATGCTGATTAGCTCAGTATAAGTATCAGCTTGAGAAATGAGAGTGCGGCACCAGATCAATCTGCAAAAACTACAATATGACGCATGAATAGGGGGTATTACCTGATGACTTTGATTAATGAAAACCAATCGATAGTGGAGATGAATCACGTACTACAATCGACGAACAATGGATGCAGAAAGGCATCAGGAGCCACAGCTCCAAGAATAGACAAACACAAAGGGGACCACATAATCAACAGACAAGGCCAGTCCTAGGCCTATGCTACTTAGTTGGCCACCTAGGGTCCCCAATTTTTGTAAAATTTTGGGGGCCCATGTTAAAAGCTTTAGTTATGGGTACATGTATTTTTGGATTGATTGATTTAAGAGGACCTAAATTTTAATGATAGATTCATTAACACTTCAACAACTTACTTAGAAAATTGTTCCACTTGTCAGATACAGTAAATTGCTAAACTTTTGAAACAAGGAAGGTAGACGACTAGATCTCTCTCTCTCTCTCTCTCTCTCTCTCATCTATGATAGAATTAAGCAAATCTCCATATATCACTCTGCCTCTCTCGCACAAATTTATCAACTGCTATCATTACGGGATTCACTCACAAACCACAATGTCTGTTTAACGTCACTCCCTCACGCCTTCTTTCTCTCTCATCTGTGAAGGAATTAAGCAAATCTCCCTACATCACTCTGCCTCACTCGCACAAATTGATCAATTGTTATCATTACGAGATTTACTCACAAACTACAGTGTCTGTTTAATGCTACTCCTTCATGCCCTCTCTTTCTCTCTATTTCTCTGTCTCTGTGTGTGTGAAGTGTGAAGTCTGAATCTAAACAACGAAAGAACACCAAATCTCTCTATTCTCTAATCTCTTGTAATTCAAAAACCTTTCAATTAGTTGATAATGATCAAGATTTAAGGGTCAGAATTCTTTAGGCTCAATATACTATAATAAAGCTGGTTTGGTCAATTGCTATCTCATTTTGTATTAGAAATTTTTAGAAGTTTGATGTGCTTAGAATTTTTAATATGTTGATTTTATATTTTGGATTTAGAATGTCTCCTTTTTTGACAGAAACTTAAATACTTGAATTTTGATAGTTGATTATTAAAACCCTAACTTACATAAAATGATTAGATTCTTTTCGAAATGCATGTATAGCTTTTAGAATATTGTTAATAATATCGGTAACAATTATTTGAGCAGAGAAATTTTTTTCAAAACTTAAGTTAATAAAATCTTATATCCGATCAACTATGTCACAGGAAAGATTAAATGGATTAACTATATTATTTATTGAAATAGATATATTAACAAAACTTGAATATGAAAATTTAATCAATATTTTTGCATCTCAAAAAGCTAAAAAAATAGTTTTTAAATGAATATATTTTAATAATTGTTACCTATTAATAGGGTCCCGCTTCATATTCTCGTCTAGGACTTTTGGATTTGTTGGGCCGCCCTTATAGTAGAAAGGGATCACCACAAAACTCTAACCTCCATATGTTTAAATAGTTAATGATGCCATGTGTAGAGGCCAACAGAGAAAAACTATCCAACAATAACCTAGACAATATTCTGTAAAAAGCTTCCAACTAAATACTTGGTAACAATAATCTTCTTTTTCAAGTAATACAAATCTCAATGAGTAAGAGTTTCCTTTACTGTAAATGTAATTTTAGTCATTCAGTTAGAGTGAACCAATCATATTATTATATTCATTTTACATCTAACACTAAGCATACATTCTCTCATATACACACATACACACATTCCCTAAGCCATATCTCAGATTATTTTGTAATCCGATCCAACTGTTTTGGAGTACCATCAAGTAATAATGAATCATCTTTCGGTCCTAATAGATTAAAAACACGATCCATGACCTAACCGGGTACATTGCAAGATTACAAATAATCACCATGTGGCCCACAGATTGGCCTATAATCCCATTAATGGCCGGAGTGACTGGCCAACCC